TCCCCCGGAGGAGTTGGAGGAAGTGTCTGGAGAGAGGGAAGTCTGGGCATCTTTGCTTAGACTGCTGCCCCCGCAACCCGGCGCCGGATAAGCGGAGGAAAATGGATGGATGGATAGTACACTTTACAAATCAGCTGACCTTTATGCAAATTTGGTGGCATGTCCTTTTAATTTTCAGTATATTGCACTCTGTGAAAACCTCTCAGGTAACTGTAGTTGTCTGAGAAAACATGATTTCTTTTATAGTTACACTTGAGATTTGGTTGCTTGACAGTGATTCCTAGGAGATGGCAAGTGCCCAAACCTTTGAGGGTTTATCTTCTTTTGAAGCAGTGCTGTAACATTTTCCCCAGATAAAGTCTATATGTGCAACAGGCAGCCGATGGGCACTGGCAGGTCTGGAGAATAATGTGTAAATAAGCATGACAAAATTTAAAACTTGTTGCATTCTCTTTTCACAGAATGGATGGCAGTTTTGCTGTGAACGATGTCCCATCAGGATCTTATGTTGTGGAAGTTGTCACCCCAACCTATAAATTTGAACCAGTGCGTGTTGATATCACATCCAAGGGCAAAATGAGGTAAAACCTTAATGTTATGAGCTAAAAAGGCGCATACAAATGTGTCCTGTTGCAACTGTCACCCACTAAAGCAACCATGTGTCATTTCACAGGGCACGTGTTGTGAATTACATCAAGACTTCAGAAGTCATTCGCCAGCCTTACCCTCTCCAAATCAGGTCTGTCGGCACCCACGTGTACTTCATGAAGAGGGAGACCTGGGGTTGGACAGACTTTCTTATGAACCCAATGGTAAAAATAGTGATGGAGTTGTATAAACATGCTGGCCATGTATGATCTGTTGTGTTTATGTATCTCAGTGATGCAAAGAGATGATCTTACATTTGGGTTAGTTCAAATCCAGAGTCATTGAGTCAGAAATGGCAGGGGTTTAAAAAAAATTCCTGTGGTCTAAATCTTAGTCTTAATAGAGTATAATTTCACCTTGTTTTTCTTTATAATCACTCTCTTGTGATTGATAATGCCCTTATGATTTAGAGATCAGGATGTTTGATGATGTGATACTCAGAAAAATTAACCGTACTTAATGAACTGTACAGTTTGTCAGTGAGAACAGTCAGTCATACATTTCAGAATCTGGACCATGTATTTAATAAGTTGAAGTAACTACTTCTGAATCTCTTGTTTACATTTACATTATTTGTTTCTTCTGCAGGTTATGATGATGCTTCTGCCCCTGTTGATCATTGTTTTGTTGCCCAAAGTGGTCAACACCAATGATCCAGAGATGAGAAAGGTGAGGAATTTCTAATAGTTGTATGAGAAGGTGTTATTTTAGGAAATACCCTATATTCACTCAGTGTCTCTGAATTGTAACGGAAGAGGGTTTATCAGTTAAATGGAAGATTCAGGAAGTGGCTCTGGATGACGTAGGTTCCCAAAAGAATAGAGTTCAGGTATATTAGTAGTCAAAGGAATGCGTTGTTCACACCTTATTTTGACGTGAGCATATCGTCACTGTGAGAAATGTTACTGAATTCCCCTGTGTGAGTGTGGAGTCTGTTCCCAGCCATCATTTCTCCATATACAGTTGTTTTCATTTCATCGCTGTCTTCACAGGAAATGGAACAGTCCATGAACATGCTGAACCCCAACCCTGAGCTGCCAGACGTTTCTGAGCTCATGACGAAGCTCTTCTCTGGCTCCAAGGGCTCCAGCAAAGCAGGCAGCAGCAGCAAGGGCACCAGGCCAGCTGCTAAAAGGAGGTAGTATAATAATGAACACATAACCTCAACCTGCCTAAAGAAGCACGAGTTATGCCATGGAAGAGAGATTTTTAAGTGTCATTTTTCCTCTAGGTTTATTGTACAGTTTTCTTTGATATTAGATGATTTGAGCACATCTTTATTTCTAATATGCTATTGGAAACTGAGCAAAGACGTTTTTTCATACTGCACTGATATAAATTTCTTGAGCTTGATTTGCTCTATACTTTGTAACATGTGACTCTATTACTCATCAGTCTTTCTGTGCTAACCCTTCGGTGTGCATTTTTCCACTGCTGCTAATTCCACTACCTGAAAGAGAACATATATACATATTTAGAGATTTTGTTGTCTCTTCGATCCCAGTAAGATGACTGTGAATGATGATGATTTGAATTTTAAGATTGATAAATTATTTAAAAGCCTAGATCAATAAATTGCAATGGTTGTAACAACTGCGTTTTTATTTCAAACCATCTTATTTTTCTGAAATTGACCTTCACATTTTTACTGTGTTGGTTACTGTAAGGTCAAAATTTATTGTACATGTGTGCCTAAAGTTAATCAATTAAAGTGATAATTAGAAATGACAGCTATGTGGTTGCTTTCAAGAGCTCTAGAGTGTAACTGACATTACTTGTAATAAAGCAGAGAGTAAATTCCATATTAAGATCATAATAAAATGTGTTTTAAAATGAAACTTTTCCTCAGTTGCTGATATATCACCTGTTGTTGATGTAATAATAGTTTGACAACACAAGCCCAGCTCTTGGTCCAGTTTCTCTTTTCAGAGCTTCCAGTCATGTGACCTGGATATCAACAGAGTGCTCATACATGTTGACATGTGAGCTCAGTAGCTGTTGTGATTTTCACTTGAAAGTCCACTTTTTAACCTGCTGGGACATAAAGTGCCATGGATGAAATCAGTTGTGCCTGAGCTTGCATGTCAGTGGATTCATCTCCGTGACAACTGAGCAGACACCCTCTGCAGATGAAGTCCATGTGGTACGTCTGAAAGATCGGGGGGGAAAAGCTAGTAACTTGACCCTGAGTTTGGATTGATTTGCCCACCTACTGTTTTCAAGATCAAGAATGAACTTTGATGTGTTAAGGCAGTGGTTCATTACTTTTGAAATAATGCCTATTTTCACATGCTCTGGTCTTTTTGACAGCAGTAGAAGTCTGTGGTACAAAGGAAATAAGCTATGTCAGGCTTTGACTACACCAACCCATTCATTGTTGGTTTTATCTTTAATGCAATTTGTTGACAGTAAGAAAAATACAATATTGTTAGGATTATCCTTACATAACAGAGTTGGTGAAGAAACTTGGAATGCAAAATCCCTGTGCTGGAGTCCAAAGAGACCTCTAGGGAGGTCTTGAGCTCTCTTTTACTCTTAGCAACAGTCATCTACATGTTACCCATGGCACATTAGTTTTATTCTTTACCTGCTGTAGCACATAATGATTTGCATCATTTCTCAAAAATAGTTTCTAGGTATAAACCAGATCAGATCACATTCAGCATTTTTGATGTTGAATATGCTGGTGAAAGTATAATTCTGTCGTTGAGTTTGTATTTCACTGTTCATATCAGTACACAGACTCAATTTCACAAAACTGCACAGACAGATTCATTCACAAAGCACTTTTGCCTCTGAGCAGAACAAAAGGCACAGAGTTCAGCGAGAGAGCTTTTGACATCGCATCATAAAAGACATAGAAATTTACAACAGCATCATTCATCTGTCAGAGAGACGTGGTGGTAGCCGGACTACAAAATACCACATGTCCATTTTTTTCCTCCACTATGAATATTATGAGTATTGACAGTTGTGATCCATAAACACATTCACATCATATTACCACCATGAAACTAATGCAGTAAATGTATGGTAAAGTACAGATTAGCCCTTGAACACATGATATATTATAATATTAGCAAGAGCCAAGATAGAAAACAGAAGACAAAACATTCACTAAACACTGATATACACTGAGGAATCCACATTTACCATATGTGAGGTGAAAAATTGAACAGAATCAGTGGTGTGTTTTTTTTTTTTTGTACTCTGTTATTTTCTAAATGTGTGAGCCTACATTATGTCCTTTATACAGTGCATATAACAGTAAAACACTGACGGGCCATTCTTCTGCATAAGGAGCACTTTTACTTTTCATACTTAAGTACATTTTGTTAATGAATTTTGAAATCTGGGACTTCTATTTGTACTGGAGTGTTTTTTTTTTGTTTGTTTTTTGCTGTGGTTTTGGTAGTGAAGTACAGTATTTGAGTGCTTCTTCCACCACTGACACATGTCAAAATCAGATGCCTGCATTACCCACAATGCAACAGTTTCATCTGAGAGTCGGGTGTGGTATGCTAGTAGAAGCTAATGTAGCCCCGAACTGCAGGCTACAAAACTGTGGTAAGCTTGCTGCTTCCTGACTCCACAGCCACAGATGTTGTTCATTTCAACACCTGGAGTCTTCAGATCCAGCCAACACTGACTCCGGTGACATCACTTGAGGCAAAAATTTCACCGGGCTCCTCCCGAAGTCATGAAAGGCTTTATATCTACAACTTTTATTCCACATATGCAGCAGTGCTCCCCAAGACCTGTAAACAGACTTTGATGTGTAAAATTGATGGAGTTCCCCTTTAAAAAGAGACTTGAAATAATCTGAACCTATTCTTATACATTACCCACTGTAGGAGTGTTTTCATGAGGTTTCTTCTGTGCTGCATCAGGTTCAGCTCATTTTAACACAAAAATCACTTCATGCTGAAGATGACCACTGACTACAGTATGTATCAGGAAAGCCCATTATAACGTTGCAGTACCACATGGAGTTATTTTGTTGTTGACATTTGGGTTGTGTCCACACCCATACAGCTTGACCTTTCCTCACTTCCTCCTCTTCCACTGGCAGAGGAGAAGCATGCGGAAGGTCTTCTGGAAGTTCTTATTGCAGAGGGCATAGCACATGGGGTTGACCGTGCTGTTGACATAGCACAGCCAGTATCCCAGGTGCCAAAGGGTCGTAGGGATGCACGTTGAGCAGAAAGTGGAGATGAGCACCATGATGTTATATGGCAACCATGTGATGATGAAGGCCAGGAGGATGGCACTGAGAGTCTTGGCCGCCTTCTTTTCCTTCACCAGCACATTCCTCTTCCTCTTGGTGATTTGGTTTTTTAGGGCAGTGTCCATGGGTTTGGAGGTGGTGGAAGAGGAGGGGGAGGCCTTGTTGTCATGCTGTTCTGCTTCAGGCAGGCAGGGTGTTGCAGGTGTAGGATTTCCATTTTCCCCCTTTGAGCTGAGTTTGAACTTATCAGAAATACACCTTTTAGCATTGTTCTTTTGAGGAGTGGAAAAATATGGATCTTCTGTATAGTCAGTCACCTGCCCATTCTTATTACTTCGTCCTCTGTCTTGCTTTTTGTTAGATCCTTGTGGGGTTAAAACATGATGCTCCTCCTCTTCATCAGATGAAGTGTCGCTGTTAAAGGAAGTGATCTGGTCCGCTTTCACCCATGCCTCGTCTGACCTAGAGGTGGTTTTTGTGGTGTTACTTTGGTTAGATGAGGACCAGGAGGCATGACTCTGGTCTCTCCTCTCTCTGGTGAAATGAAAACAAGAGTGAATAATAGTTCTCTGTGGTTTAGTCCCCTCTGGAACATTTTCTGCTGTGAGCCCTTGCAGCTCTGCCAGATCTTTTGTCCGTTTTTGTGTCTCCTTGTAGATCCTACAGTATAGGATAGTCATAACAGAGACTGGAAAGTAGAAAGCAGCAATAGCTGTCCCAAAAGTGATCACTGGCTCAGTTAAAAACTGGATCTGGCACTCGTTTTCAGGCACTTTTCTCTCTCCTACAAAGTACTGCCAGCACAGAATGGGTGGTGCCCAGAGCACAAAAGACACTAGCCATGCAAGGCCTATCATGATTGCAGCTCTCTTTGGGGTCCTCTTTGCCCTGTACGTTAGGGGTCTTGTGATAGAGAAATACCTGTCGAAGCTGATGACAAGTAAATTCATAACTGAAGCATTGCTGGCTACGTAATCCACTGCAAGCCACAGATCACATGCAACGTTTCCCAATGACCAGTAACCCATCAGTATATATGTGGTGTATAAGTTCATGGATAGCGCTCCTATGATGAGGTCAGCGAATGCCAAACTCAGCAGGTAGTAGTTGTTTACCGTCTTCAGCTGGCTGTTTACTTTAAAGGACAGCATGACCAGTACATTACCAACAATGGTTATCAAGCTGACAATGGCCGACACTGTAGCGATGGTTATAACCTCCCAAAGGCTGTGATGCTGAGTTTGGGCGAGCGATGTGTTGCCAAAAGTGCTGTTTCCAGGATCCATGGTGCTGTGTTTCCTGTCTGTGCTATTGGTGGCAGGTCAATGTCTGTTGCACTGTGTAGAATGAACAGTTTCCCTGAAATGAAAAGAAAAACTGAAATATGACTCAATTGCACACTGTTATTATTATTTTTGTCCATTTTTATTGTATTAGTACACACCCTTGTAGATATATCCCCACAATTTCAAACCATACACTGTTTCTGTTGTTAATTTAAATGTAGTGTTTTAAAGTTTTGAATCAGCACATATGTGTCACAGCATGTATGACAGAGCTATTTAATATAATGTTGCTTTATTGAATGAATTAATGGAGTTTATTTTTGATTTTTAAAAGTTGGTAGTATTTTGGATTTGCATTTTCAACTTGTATGCATTTTATTTTTATTTTATTTGTATTTTATGTTACTACAGAAATACTAAATATGCTGAAATGCCATATTTTCAAATGTGTGCACTTGGCAGAAGAAAATATTTAAATCTGTACTGTAATTTCATTTATTTTCGCTAGATATCAAATTTTAAATGCAATAGTTGACTGGTGAAAACCAGTAATATATATTTTTTAAATATCTGACTGAATCAAACTATTAATGTATTTGTAGTTCTATTTACTTTTTATTCCTACCCCAAAGCTAATGTGAATTTACAGTATATTATGTTGTTTATCGGTTGAACATGCTCTATCGTTTAGATTGCGGCTTTTCATTTCAATAATAAAATATGGACATTAAAATGGGAAACTGATCCGTTCTCTGTACTAAATATTTTTGTTAGACGCGGAACCAAATGCAATTTTGTCATAGGACACCATTCAATGTAACACTCATTCCTGTCAACTTTAACGTGTCACATGCTAAACTGTTCGTGCACAGCTGACAACAATGGAGGCTAGACCGAGCAGAGGTACGAGAGGCAGTTGGAAAAGAGGTGGCCGGGGTGGAAACGACAACGACGGTTTTAGTGGTGAGCACAGAGGCAGAGGGCGAGGAGGCCACCACCGAGGCCGGAGCAAGAGAGACTACCACCGCGGTCGTGGACGCGGAGCACCCGGTCATGCAGCAGAGTTCCATCCCCCGGTGAGAGAGCGTGGAAGCCGCACTCTGTTATCCCGCCCTACCAAACTCCATGGTACCTATAGTGAATTTTGTAGTTGTCACTGCGAACAGGCACAGATTCTCGGCCGATGATGTGAATCTAGCTAGGACCTTCTCTTCAGTTCGGCCTAATTAACACTCATTTCGGTGTAATTGCCAGCCGGTGCGACATTTGTTTTCCAGAGGGTGAGACAGAGCGTTGTGGGGGGGGGGAAAAACCTTGATATTTTGTTTAACTAAAGTTATGTATTGTGGATATATTCAATGTCAAGTTTAGCAAAGTATTGCCATGACACTAGCACTTCTCTCCGTATGACATTTCCCTTATACAATCAAAGCACAAGTTGTAAGGTTGTTAGTTTTACCCTCATTACGACTAATGAGTCGATTTCATCAAGCACTTGACATACTGCTCTTATTCTGGACTTTAACACTGTCACTGTACAATCTGGGCCTTGGATTTGATACTACATGGTTTAGATAAATTTCCACTGGGATGTTCATTTGGTTGATGCTCCTGCCATGGTAACTGTGGTGATCAGAAGGGCATCAATAAGGGCTCAGTGATAGAAATCTCCTTTTGGTTCCCAGATTGCAGTAATAAAACACTTTCTCTGGTGCATCCACAGCTACCATGTGGCCCCTCATGATGCTGTTGGGGAAAAATATGTTTTGTGTGCTTGAATTTTAATAGGGCACCAGAAAAATGGAGCAAAACCACAGCTTAGTCAGTCTGACACATCTCCCCTTACACATTTCAATGACATTGTTAAAATGTTTGTGCAGCTATGTGGAAAAAAAAACAAGAAGAAATCTATGACTCAGCCACATTTAATGAATTCAGTTGTGGCAGTGACATCTCTGTCATACAGTGGGACATACCGTTTACGTGTACCTTGATTCTTTGTTAGACTTGGCTACGAGTCATGAATAAGTGCCGTGTGTTAATCACCACTTTCCAAATGCTGTTTGAATTTTAGTTTGTGGAGCACCGTTAATGGAAGTGTTATTTTTGTCAGTGGGAGCTCTTAGTCACATTAAACAAAGCAAGCTGACTCCACTGGAAAGATGACCTGCTTCAGGGGTTATGTGTTCCTGTACGAGTCGGAGCATATACAGTTCCAGGATGTATTTTTTGATGAGTCTGTCCATTGTCCAGACATGCTGTTTTTACAAACTTAAGCATGACATTCTCCTGATGTGTGTAGTATTCAACTCTTAATTTGCAGCCATGTGACTGTGAGTGATTTTTTGAACTTTGGGTATACTTTTGAAACGTGCTTTCTTCACCCCTGTCCTTATGCAACATTACACCAATCAGTGACAACATTAAAACCTGTCTAATACTGTGTACGTAGGAGTCAGTGTGGCAGTTGGTTGGCGCTCTGCAGCTCACTATGCATCTTCGTTGAATCTGTTTGCTACCATAGCAAACCTATACTGTCAGAAAGAGCATGAATTTGTCAATCATTCAGTGACAAAGTTATGTAAAAGAAGTGAAAACTGTGGTTCTGAGGAGAAGTTAAAGATAATTTTGTAGACATATTCAACAGCCTCACCGCTCTAGGTGTGATATCACCACTATAGGCCCTGACTCTTTCTCTTCATAGAGACCAATGTACAGTATTTCTCATTTTTGATCATTTTAACAAGCAAACAAAATGCAATCTTTTAAATGGAATTTAAACAATTGGATATGTGGTAGATCAACCTCATCATCACTGAGCCTTGGGCGTCCAGGACCCTGTTGCCGGTTCAAAACAGCTTTGGTAGGTACTGACCACTGCAGACCAGGAACACCCACCAAGACCTGCAGTCTGGGAGACGCTCTGACCCAGTTGTCAGCCATCCCAGTTTGGCCGTTTTTCCTGCCAACACATCAGCTTCAAGATCTGACTGTTCACCTACTGCCTAATATACCCCACCTCCTGCCAGGTCTCATTGCATCAAGATAATCAGTGTTATTCACTTCACCCACCAGTGGTCATAATGTCATCGGTGAATTATGGAAATATGTTGCTTGTAAATGGGTTAAATTAACCTTTGACCACTTGAACCCAGCGTTACCTGGGCTGGCATGCCGTGACAAGAAATAGTGTGGGTTTCAAGCATAACTGTTGTTACTGTCCTTACTTACTGCAGCCAAGTATTGTTCCTTTTCCTCTGCTGCGTGTTTTATTTTGGTGTGCTGTTAAACAGTGTTTCCTGAATGAGACATCAGTCCCACGCCTTTCTCAAATTGGCTGGACATTTGACAGGATTTCAAAGTTTGTCGAAGTTGAATCATATATGGGGTCAGTTTGCACCTGGGAGCAAATAAGAGCCGCCCATTTATTTCTCATAGAAATGATTGGAGAGCAAAATTCAGCGTGACTGCACCCAGACAATATGGAAAGCAGCCCTGGCATGAATACACTCGAGTCACATGTTGCTCACTGTGGATCCCATCTTGTCTTCTTTCAGGATCAAGATGAAGGAGACAACATTCAGGGAGGAGATAATGGGATGGCGGTTTACTCCAGGAGGAAACTGGAGACAAACTGGGATCGTTACGAGGAGTCAGAGAGGCAGGAACCTGAAGATGACACACCTACTCAGAGAGGAACCGACTACCACGTCCTGCTGGAGTCTGCAGGTAAGCTCTGGATTAAAGCTCTGGATTAAAAACTGGGAGAGTTTGTTTGTTTTGCCAACCACACCTTTGGTGTTCAGTCGGTTCTCAGCCAAAGATACTTGGGGTGTCTGTCAAAGGTGGAATAGTATGGGACAGCATAAAAGAATTTGCAGTAGGGCATCGATTAAATAAATCAGTAGGGGACCGAATTTTTGGACTTCTTCAGTCTGGTTCTGGGATAGTGGCACAGTAAGCACAATAAAGTAAGTCATGTCCAAAAAGTCCATTTCCCCATGTTTTTGATTGCTGCTTCAATTACTGTTGACTTATTGGTTTTTCTGTTTGTTGTTTCCTCTCTCAGTAATGTTCAAACCATTGCCAGTACAACTGCTACATGGTGCAAGTGTTGAGTGTTGGCTTTTAATTTGTGGAGCCTCTGTGGAAATGCAGATACTCCACAGAGTCTGACTGCATGTTTCCTGTCCCTCTGTCCTAATTAGTTAAAAACCAGGGTCTGTTGTTTGATGGCACTTTAATTGCTCTGTATAGTCACTGCTGTCAGATGATTGTATAGCAGGTCCTTGTTTGTTTGCTAATTTCAGCCTCAGTACCGACTGTTTTGGCCCTTGTACTCTGTCAAGTCTCATCCCTGTTTCTTTTGGTATTTTTCTCCAAAGGAGGATTAGGAGAGCTCAGGATGTCGTATCAGAGCAGAGCGCGAGTTGTCATCAGATGCAGGACTGGCTCTCCGATAACAGCCTTGAGAGTGGACTGTCACATTTAGCTTATGACTCAAGTTGAGTTAAATAAGGCAGAGGGGTGGGATCTGTTGGCCTCTTCTGTTTCAGATCCTGTTCCAAGTTGGTAAAATACCCGGCTTTGTGCAGCCTCGCAGTCAAACGAATCCCTTACCAAACCTGTCATTCATGTTTTCTGTTTAGTTTGCACTCTTTGGCCTTTGACAAAGAAAAAAAAAAGATGAGTACAGACTCTGGATAACTGGGCGACACCGTGTAATGCTATGTATTACGTAGCAATAAAGTTTGAAAGAAAAGTGCTGTCGTTCTAGGTTTTGATTGAGCTGCCTTTTGTCAGCAACGCTGCTCTGCCATTACCTGATTAGTCATCTAACAGAAAATTATTGTACCACAAATCTGACAGACAAAGCACTTTATCAAATACCAAACGTTTGCTTGTCCCAGTCTCCCAGATGTGACGATCATTATCGTTGTAAATCTTTTTGTTTTGGACGGTCTGAGGACACACTGAGCTTAATGAACCTGTACTGAGATTAACAGATCTCTTATCACAGGGTAAATGGAAGAATCTAAACATCCTTAGTATGTACTGTAATTAACCCAAGGCTTGGAAAAATTGGTTTAATATTCTGGCTGCATTTTCAGTGCAAGCCGTTCCCTTGGTGCTCTGTATCTAAGAAACATGATTAGTTTTGGCATAGAAGAAAAGTGCCGTGCACCTTCCTGGTATGAAACATCCATCTAGTATTGCAGTGGTGCTACAACAGTCGGCAGGTTAAAGCCTATGGTGAGCTGTAAATCAGTGCATGTTTTCCTGTCTGAGCTCTTGTACTACTTGGATAATATCCCTATGTAGCACACAGTAATGAGCAGATGTGTACTACATAGCTATATGGTTGTATTAAGAGCTGCTAAGAACCAGGGTCACATTTGTTGGCCAATAAAAGCAATGTTGAATCGGATTAATTTCTCACGTTGGAGACATTTGTGACAGGAATGCTGGAACACCTCAATGTAGGAAGTACAAGTCGCACTTGACTGTGTTTGCCTTTCACTTCTCAGCACGTCTGAGTAGGTTTCATAACATGCTGCTGCTAATAGAGAGCTTCGCATTCTAAACGGGGGTTTTGGTGTAGAAATCTAGTGGTGGAGCATTTTGTAAACCATCAGTGTGTGATATGTGCTTTTATTCAACCTAGGGTTACACTGACACATTAGCCTTATTATTTAACTGACCATTTATATTTTGGTAAATAATTTTCTTTTAGAGTCTGGTGTTTGCTTCCAACTAGGAAAAGAGTTTCACAGTTTCATAATGGTTTAAGCTGCACTAGAGGATTTTAAACCTATTCTTAATTTCAGGTCCATTGACTATGTGGCATGTGAAAGATTTCACTTGGTGTGATGAGCCTTCAGAGAATTATCACCTGACTCAACAGGTCCCTTTTCTCTAAGGAACATTTTAGAATTTTTTAGCTCTTTTGATTTGGCTGCAGACCCCCTACCTTCACTGTTTTAGTTCAGTTTCACGCCTCTCATCAGGGTTATTCACAGCCACAGCAAGCAGCTGGGTTCAAAAGAAAAGCTCCAGAAATACACTGTTCATTACTTTTTCTGCACTGAACTGCAAACAGAACAAACATTGTGGAGCGTTTCAGCAGGTGTTTTTCTCTGGAGTTGGTAGCAACCAAACACGGAACGAAATGGAAAGTCGCGCTACGTTCCAGGGTTTCCCCTGCCATAGAAAGGCTTGGTGTTGTTGCAGAACACTTTAAGCCAAATGAACATAAAAAGACCTTTAGGCAACATATCAGAATGACTGTACGCTAAAATAACTGGGAGAACTTTATGTACTGACTATGTTTCACAAATATCGTAAGGATAATGGTCAAATAACAACATGCTGGATGTATACTGTACATAGGAAGCTGTTTTCCATATCAACATTACAAGGTGTCGGTATCGGTGATCTTACCAAGTGTTTTCAGCTTGTTGCATTTTTCTCACGTTGTCAATAAACACATTTATGCCCCATTAGCATTTTTCATTGACTTAATTTGAAAAGGTTGAGGTTCAAAATGTGACAAAAATATTAAATAGTCTGACAATATTAGCTTTATTATCTGAATGTTATCTGCTGACTGAGTTGAAAAAGGTAACGGGGCTGTGTTTGGACCAAAAGTAGTATATATATTTTTAATGAATATTTGAACCAGATATGTAGAATTCAGCATGTTAATACTTGAAAAAGTGTACTGTTAAGTAGAAAGTCTAATAACGTTTCTTTGATCAGCCATGTTTTATGCATTTTTGCCAAATATTCAGGAGCTCACATTGTTTTTGGAGGAAGTTCTGAATCCATTTTTAGCTCAGGCTGAGTGTTTCAGCACTTCGCTGTGTTTATAGAATTGTTTTTTTGTTTTGTTTTTTTGTCCTCACACCATTAGAGAGTTGGAGTGTTGTCTCTCCTGTTCTCTTGTAGTGTAAATGCTAAAGGTGCTCTTGTGAGTTGTTTGACTCCTATCTCTCGTCTCTGTGTTTTGCCCACGTTGTCAGATTAGTCACGATGTACAGCAAGAGGCTGCCGTTCTTTAGAGGATACTTAATTGTACGTGGGAGGCGATGCTTTCAAGAGCCATTTTTCTGGCTAATTAAGGTAGCCATGAAATCAGGAGTTTGCCACAGAAACCTCCCTCTTCCTTTTGGCTGAAGTTATTACAGAATGCTTCTTATTGTGGAGCTTGTATCTTCATCACTTTCTGTATCCGATGTGTTAAAGAGATAAAGTATTCTCCTTGTTTTATTGGCAAGACTGTGCTGATTTGATGTTTCAGGAGAGAAATGACTTCAGCAGTTCCTCTCAACCTTTTGTAATGTAGTTTTTATAAGATTCAGCATCCCAGAGCAGAGAGGTCGAGAGCAGAGCTTTATCTGCAGTGTGGTGGAGGCAGCAGGTGTAGGCTGATTTTACATTTTAATCAAATAGGTGCAGGATTTTTCCTAGCAGCATGTCATACTCTTAACCCCAAGGTTTGCTGTCTGTCATAACAGGACACTTCATCTAATAGCGTTGTCATCCAGGGTTTTCAGAGCTGAGCGCAGGTGAACAGCCCAAAACAAACCAGTATAAATGCATATCATACCACTGTACATAACTTGTTCCAGGGCAGAACCTGTCACTTAAATCATTTCTATTTGCACAACTTCAAGTTGTTTGTTTCATATCCAAAACCATTTGCTGCTGCGGTGACTCAGCTTTCCCGCAAGGAGCCTTACAGTTTCAGTTGAGCTCCACATGTGTTGATTCACACGACACAAATGAATGCAACTGTTAAATTTAGGCACAAGATCAACAAAGACTTGCAGCTTTCAGCGAATGGCCCCTGCCAGTCTATTTGATATTTGACAGTATAGGTATAATTGAGTGCTGAGGACGTACAGTGGCTAACCTTCTGTTTGCAAGTGCTCTATTGAAAGCTCTACTGTGCTTGGTGTGATTAGGAAAAATGGAGCCTGAAAGGGAAATTATGTAAACAGACTGTTTGATTTGAACTGAAGGTCAGCTCCAGGGCTTTGTTGTTTTGTGGCCCCGTGGATGTCTGTTCCATAGCCCCGCTGCTTGTCCAAATATCTCGAGTGCTTTTATCATTTTGATTGATTCCGATTACGCCTTTTATTACATTCAAGGTTCATCTTGTCAGAAGGCGAGGACACAGCACATCTTTTTTCATGACTGTGGCTTCTAGGCGGGATTGTTTTTCAAGGATGGAACCTTGGTGCTTTTTGAAATATTTCAGAATCAATTTCTTTCTGAAGCTACTTTTGTGCAGGAAGATTTTCTTCACCTCGACAACTGCAGTAGCTGTGCAACAGGGAGGGATTGTGTTAAACTCTGGAGTGTGTCGATTGAATTAAAACACGTCAATTTGCCTTCAAGCCTCGATAAATTGCTGTCGACTGTTTTGTAACCTGAAGGCGATTTGTATTATGTCAGGTCTCATCTCCATCCTTGCGTCGTTGGGGGTTGATTGTGCTGTTGCTAGGGGTGATGCACACATGGTGCAGTTCCCTTCTTCTGTGTGTGTCTGTATGACTTGGGGGGGGGGGAGGTGATTATAGCAGTTATTTACATCACCCTAACCCTAACACTGCCATCTATCTGTACACATTAACTTAAGGATCAGTCCTCCTCCCCCACAGTCGTAGTTTACCAAGGCCACTAATGGGTACCTATCAAGGCTCAATCATAATGAGACAAAAGGAAATCGCATTAGAGCTTCGGTGATTTGGCTGAATAGATTGACTGACACACACACACACACACACAGGGACGTTTTCCTAACTGGGATCAATGACCCCAGTCATGCCATTTATTTATATGTTTGGTGTTGTTTTGGATACTTGATTAGCCATGTAGACTGGAGGTGACCGGCATCAAAGCGGAGGAATGAGGCTGGTCACGTACTGTCCGGCTGGCAAAAATCGGAAATGAAGCGTTACAAGTGCTCGGTTCATTTCCTTACAATTGCTGGTTATGATTATGTCAGTGGAGGATGTCATGAGGCTGTATAAAACAGCAGGTGGTCCATGATGGATTACGTTCCCCATTAAACAATTAATTGTTTGGTTCCCCAGTTTGCTTGTTTTGTGTGAACTGTCACCACTTTACTATGGAGTTGCAACAGTCTTTCACTTAATCTGTCAGTTCTGCAGCTATTTTCATTATCAAGTAATCATTAATATTTGATGGTTCTAGGTTGTCAGATGTGGGAATTGGCTGCTTCTCTTGGTTAAAGCTACAGTACGTAACGTTTCCAAATATTTCTGTTGTAGAAATCTTCTCCAGAACTTGTCTTAATGTGGAGAGGTGCAGTCAAAGCCTCCTGTGACCCAGACTCATTGAACAGCCCTGGCAGCAGTGCAGAGAGATGAGCTTTTAAACATTTTTAGTGGAATCGACCTCTAACCAATCAGAGATTTTCAATTATTTCTGCTTGATCAGTAATTTTAGTTGCATTCTCATTTGATGTAATTTCATAACAACAAATATCTGAAGAGCTGGGCGGAGCACGGTGGAGCAGAGAGAGGTAGTCCTGGTTGGAGTAGAGTGGATTGATTTGGAGTTTCATGTTAGTGCTACATTAAGTTAAATATTGTACCTTTACTGTTAAATAGTTTGGGGTTTTGGACAAACAAAATACGACATTTGACTGTTTTCTAGACCACGCGGTTAATAAAGAAAGTAACTGGCAAATTAACTGATAAGGAAAATAGTTCTTACTTGATCCAGTTGCAGAAAAAGCATCAAATCTTAAACTAGAACACGTTGCCAATTCATTTTTTTGTCAGTCAGCAAATTGCTTAGTGTTTCAGCTTTAGTTAGTCTTAAAACCTGTTTGGACAGTCATCATGTTTTCATCCTCCCTTGTTTTTAATGATACTTTAAATCAAATAATCTTGCTCCTCGGACCTCCCACTTTTTCTTGAATTAAAAATAAACACACAACCACCTACAGACCCATACTGAAATTTCTTTAGACACGCATACAAAACTGTGGATTAATTTAAAAGAATTTTGGGTGTTGAAACTTTTAAATCAGAACTACAGAAAACGTACAGCACAGCTCTGAGTCTGAGCTAAGAAGCTGTGGTGACAACTGATGAACCCCAGCACTTGTTCCATGACTCGTTAGTGCAGTAACTCTGACCAGTAATAGATATTTTACAGTGTTAGAATCGATATCATTTCATTGAACAGTATGGTCAGTTGATAACTGCTCCTGTGAGCGGTTTAATACCCACATCAAATAGAATTCATGCTCACCCTCTCTGGCTCTGACAAAACACGATCCTCCAGGATGAAGTGGGCGTTTGGCTTTGGTTTTGAATTGCTGTTTTTTCTTAACTCCTTCTTCAGTCTGACAGAGTTTTCTCAGTTTCTTTTGTCAGCTCTGTGTGCGTTTCCTTGCACCGTTCCCTCTAAGAAGCTCCACACCTTCCCTCACTGGCTCTCTCTCTCCCCCTTCCCTTCTCCCTCTTGCTGCCTTTTTCCCTCTGTGCTCCTCTCTCCAACGAGGTGAAAAACACACTTGTCAAATACAGGTAGGTCATCACACTATCTCTCGTCCTCATCAGTTGCTAAGTACGAGGCGCTTTGATACAAACAGGTTTGTCAGCATCATTATGTGGCACTGCAAAGCTCCTGAACGGTGCGGCTTCTTTTCAAGACAAGATTGTCAATGCAACAGCTGTTCAGTGTCCATGTGACAGAGCTGCTTAGGTGCCTCTGGTGCTGTTTAGACCTTTTTTCACTGAAGGCTGAATTTCTGGAAACGGCTCCTCATCCTCCACGGTGCTAATCGAGTGAAGAGCTAATCAAAGCTTTTCTTTTCCAGATGGTAAACGGGAGCTCGGTATTTTCTGGGAAATTGAAGAAAGCAGAAAAAGTTGCAGTTCTCACTCTCTCTGTAAAGTTGCAGCAACTCTGCTGGCCAGGAAGTGGAGTAAGGCTTCTCTGATGCTCCAGTCTGCACAGATTGAATGAGTTTTTATCTCCTACCAGGCTTGTGCTCGCTGTGGATGAAAAGGCTGCTTGGATGCACGCTGCACTAACATCCTCAGCAACACGCGTATTCAGCCGTGAGCCACTGTTCGGAGAAATTCCCACATGGCCGAAAGCCCCAATCTGTATCAGAGCACTGAGCAACATGTAAGAGGAGGGAGGCAGAGGTGAGGAGGTGGAGGAGTAGGATGCAGCGTAGGGGGAGGAGCTGGAGGAGGAGTCGACGTGGGTGTCAGAAGGAGCTGTTTGTCTTTGCATTAGTTATAACTGTATGTCTTGATCAGAGAGGAAAGGCGTTCACATCCAACGGCCTTCCGTGCTTCCCACGTTTGACCATGTACCTTCTTTAAAAGCAGGACCAGTGCCTGCAGTAATGGCAGAGGGATTGGCAGAGATTTGGAACTGCTCTCAGTTTGCCAGGCGGTCTCAGCTGCCTCTATTGGCTGTGCTTTTCTGTGTGTACTTTGTTTCTTCTGGTGTGACCTTCTCTGGGCAGATAAGCTGTAGCAGTAACGACAGACGGAGCAAACAAAATTGGTTTCTTTTTCTCGGTAGAAGCTGCCCTGAAGTGAGAGAGAATTTTATTCAGTGGCTGAAATGAATTCAGTGATGTTAGGACATAAACGATCTTGATATGGATCCCCTCCTTTGTTTAATGTTACTTTCCATAAGTTGCATTCTAAACAGGAATCTACAGTTCTCTGGTGGTCAGACTATGTACATAAAGGTGACGTTGTTCCTAAATGACCTCAAGCAGACTTTAGTATTTCTGTTCTGCAGTGTCTTATTACATATCAGCCAACACAAACACTTGTGCCTGTATTTTTACAATAAACTTTGATTTTAAATAATGACAGTAGGCTTTATTTATACATATAACACCTTTAGAGACGAGGTTACATAGAATTAAATCCACACTGCTCATAAGAAAGGATCCAGCAAATTAGAAAATATAATAAAACATAAAACAAAGTACAGCTAGGAAACAAACTATAACAATATGTAATATATATTTTTATAAATAAAATCTAAAAGGATTTATTGGTCTAGCTCTAATCTGTAGTTTCAAAGCAAATTTTGCAAACAGGACAGTTTTATTATTGACAGTATTCTCACCTAAAATGTAAATGATGCCATTTAGCTCAGTAATGACCAATAAATAACCTGTGCACAAGCGTCTCTGCCCTGACAATGGACCTCTTATTACCTCTTTGTACTGAACAGTAAGCAGAACACCATGGATTATGACTGAGGAATATTGAACACGTTTAGTAGTTTCACATCTGTGGCAACTAGAACGATGTCCTACATAGATCTTGATAAAACATCTGTTATTTTATTCTGTCATCAGGTCGTTCCAGCCTTGTCTCATCTGCACCCATCACCAGCATTCGAGCCGTTTTAGAGATGTTTTGAAGGAACTGATTTATGGTACATATTGATGTGACTAGTATTAGTTTGGTCAAAGTCATTATGTCGGTTTAACTCAACTGACTTGTCGATTAATTGCCGAGCTTTACTTTATTCTACCAAAATGTTGTTCATCTTTTCAGGAAATGGGATGACTTCGGAGGATGAGAAACATTTAACAGATAACAAGAGAGTTGTCTACTATTGAAGAGAAGCAAGTCATAGATAACCGCCCTTTTAACATCCACCGCAAATCCTCAGCGTGCTATGAACCAGAGCGCCTGACAGTTTGTTGTGTTCTTTAAGAGCACCTTGTAGAGTCTTGTGGACAAAGCCAAGCAAACATATTTGTTCAGAATATGATGTGACAGGATTATAAGGCTCAACAGTTCAAGAGGCTCATCTGACTTGTGACTACTGTTGACGCAGTGATACTCATGAACACATCATCACGTGTTGTGAGACATGTCACCACACTTTGACATAAAGCCTCAACATTTAAGTTATTCATAAATCTTACCACAAATTATGCTCTGGTAAAATAAGACTTATTAGAGTGAATTAATTTCCCCCTTTATGACCCAGGCTCCACTGCACACACCTCAACCTACACCGTCCATCACAATGAGTGAAACCGCACAAGTACTGTGTGTGCACGGATTAGCCTCATATTCAGTTATGACGTCAGGCGCACCTTCCCACCATATCACAAAGTAAATGAAAGAGT